TTCTGATTTCTGGGCCTGAGAATTCCAGGTCCAACAAACGAACAAAAATCTTTACCTGAGTTGTGCTTTAGAGACGCCAAAGAAGCAGCTCCCCCATCATCCTCCACAATTTCCAGAGTCTCCACCTTAGACCTTTTTACCCTGTGTATCATCAGTTAATAAAAATCAAATTAATTAAGAAATTACAACTAAATCCAGCTTCAGTTAATTTGGAAATAAACCCTAAAAAGCCATGAACAAAGCATAAAAGCGTTGTTTCCTTTCTAAACCCTAAAAACTCCAAAATGGCTTACCTCTTGCTTTGAAAGTCAGAGTCATCATCTTCTTCAGCTTCTTTATCTTGATCTGGTGATGAGGAGGCAGCAGAGTCAGAATGGTGTTGATTGGGAGCTTCGTCATCACTAGCCGAAGAGGCAGAAGATTTGGAATCAAGCTCCGTGTCAAGAAAAGCAGCGAAATCATCACTGCTAGAAGAGTGAACTGGAGAATCCGTTACCAGACTCATCTGTTTAAGTATATAAATAACAATTTAATTAATATTATTATTATTTGCCAAAACCAACTCCAATACTTCCAGCTTAAAAAAAAAAACAGTTCCATTGATCAACCATGACAGTTTATCTACACCGACAAAATGCCTAAATTCCCCAAATTTTATTTGGCTGAAATTAATGCAATAAAATAAGTCTTTAAATGAGATCAAGATGAATGGGACTAAGGTAAAATACTGTGCTGTTAGATTTTGCGATATCCCAATGAATATAAATTGGATTTTACAGCAATCCTTCTTTTATTAATGAAAAGGTCTCATTGATCAAAAAGGAACGGATAGGAGATGTCATGGACCAAACATCACTGTATCTAGATCCTAAATTGCAACAGAAAAAACCCTAAATTTTGTGTAGATGCCATTAAAAATAAAACCCTAAATGTCATCATGTCACTCAATTAAGTAGATAAGAAAACGGAATACAGAGATACCATAGATCATGTAGTATCAACTCATGTATACACACACACACATACAATAAAACATGGGCTTTAAGCCTTTAACAAAACAAACTGAAAATCTACGTGTAGAAACTGTGTTGAAACCTGTGGAGAGAATAAGAAATGAGAGGTTAACTTGCCTGAAACTGAATGTAATACAAGCTTCAATTGAAGTTCAGTACTCAGTTGGAGTGGATTGGGAAGAAGCTGCAGATTGGGCGAAGGGAAGCGGGGAAGCGGGGAGGACGAGATGAGAGGAATTTTGGCTTCCGTTCTGCGTGCTTTGGGAATTAAATAATAGCCGTTATATAGCCCAAAAAAAAACTAAAACCCAAGGCAAAAAACTTTACTATTTGCCGCTACACTATAATTACTTTCTTGTCCTTAAAAAAAAACAACGCCTTGGTGATAGTGTTTCGTTCTTTTACACTGTTCATAAGTTATTATAAGATTTATAGGATATATATTTTTTTAATTTTCACAGTAAATATATTAAATTTATTTTAAAAGTGAATTGTTTTTAAAATTTACTTTGAGAGTTTTTTTTATCTTTCTGCATCAGACAAGCATAGTAAAAATAATTGATTTACCTTTTAAAAAAAAAGTTGTGTCTTGGGGATTTTTAATCTTTTTTACTTGATTTTTATGTTATTATTAAATTATTTATGGATAATTTAATTTTATAATAAAAATATATTTAAATTAAAAAATTATTGATATACCAGAGACACATGTCAACATAAAAAATATATTTATAACTTTATAGTAGTGCTTGGAATGCCTGTCGATGGCCTAAAAGCCCTTTCATCATATCATTAGAATCTTTGTCATTTTTTTTCTGTTAGGGTGGTGTGTAATGGCAGCTGTGGGATAAATTGTCATCAACAAAGTTTTTTTTCATTTTCTTTCTTATTTTCTTTCCTTGCAAAATCACACTAGCCATTAAAAAATTCAATGTTGTTCTCTTAATTATTTATATTTCAACTTTAATTTTTTTTTTATTGGATATTTTATAAAAAAAAAATATTTGTTTTCAATTACATCCTTCATTCTTAATTTCTGATATATTATCTTGATTTCTATTTTTTTCTTAACCCTTTTATACAATTTTCATTTATTTTTTATTTCATCATTCAATTCAACTTTGTGATATATTATTTTTTTTCTAATTTAATTCTTATTTTTTTTATTTTTGTCCTTTTTGTTAAAGTGGTTTGACATCTTTTTTTTTTTTATTTCATCATTCGACGTTGAGTTTTTTTAAAATAACTTTTAATTTATTTTTTATTAAATTATTACAATCTCATGACATAAATTACGAGTTTAATGAGATAATCTTAATTGGTTTGCCCTTTATTACCAATATTACATGTCTATCATATTGTCCGAGTTAACTTGATTTGTGCTTTTTTTGTTATTTTTTAATTCAATTTTGAACTTCATTGTTTTTTTTATTTTGTATTTTTTTTAATTTCATCTTGCAACATTTGATTTATTAGGGATTAGGTTTCAAGGTTTTTACATGTACAACGTGAGTTAATTTTTTTTTGTTTATTTTTATTTTTAATTTTTTCATTCGATATTAATATTATTTAATGGACCTTTTAGTTTTTTTATTAGATTATTTCAATCTCGTAACATGGATCGAGGATTTGATTATTATGCTAGCTCATGTTGACTCATGCTATTTTTTTTAATATAATTTTACCATTCAATATTTAATTGGTTGAAAATTGAATTACATGATTTTTTTCTTTTGAATTTTTTTTTTTATAAAGTTATCGTGATTTTTTTTAAATAATTTTTTTTAATATTATCATCTTTTTTTATTATCTAATTAAAATAAAATTAATTTATTTGACTCGTTTGGATTTATAACTCATATTATTGATTTTTTTATAAAAAAAAACATGATTATAATATCTAAATATTATTTATTTATTAAAAAATCATATAGTCTAGCGACGTAGTGCAGACTCACATCTAATATATCTAAAAAATATATTAATTGCTATGCCTCCCTTGGATTTTATTTTTTTTTAATCTTGGCTGTATATTTTTACACATTAAAAAAAGGTAATGGTCAGGTCTTACCGAGGTCTCGGGTCACCACAATGGCTGTGACCAGGCAAATTTTTGAGGTGGTTTTTGATAAACTCATACCGGTTTGGATTTTATTTTGTTTGTTGGAATCGAGGGGTTAAAACTCTATTTGGTATTATAATGCGGTGCAATTAAAGATATTTTTAGGTTGATTATAATTTTAAAAATTATTTTATTTATATTATTTATATACATTTTTCATTTTAAATTGTGATAAAAATTCAAGTTTAAAGAAATATTATAATTTATAACTTTTAAAAATTATTATTTTAAAAACATAACTATAAAAACTACCACAATATTAAAAAAATACACTCATCCTATTATTTTTTTAAGGTTTGCTTTTCCGCCGGAAGAGAATGAAAACAAAGACAAAAGGGCTGGGGAGAGTTTAATTTTTTTATATAGTGTTTGGGGGCCCAGCCTCCCACTTATCTGGCAAGGCCCACGTCCATTACACTGTTTCATAATTTATTTATTTTTCATTTTAATTTAGAAGGCATGAATGTTTAGTTGCCGTTTTAATTACAGCTTGTTTTGTACACTTGTGGTTATATTTTTTCATATAAAAGAAACAGATTAGCATTAAACAAAAAATATTATTATATATGATGTGTATTAAATGCTTAAGTAGTAGTTGTTATTTTTTAAAGTAAAAAATATAATAAAATAATATTTTTTAAAAATTATTTTTGATAATAATATATTAAAATGATTTAAAAATATATAAAGATTAATTTTAATAAAAAACTTAATTTTCTAAAAGTTTTTTTAAAACATAAAAACAATTATAAATTAAAATTTTTCATACCCAAACCTGTTTCATTAAAAAAAATTTATGGGATACATAATTGCAAAGTTGCTTACTTATTAATGTATACTTTTTTTAAGCACGCTGGTAACTTTAAATTTTACAAAATAGAGAATCTCAAAGCAATATTGGTAGGTTTCTACGGTGCAAGTTGATTGTTAAATGGTTTGATTATTTCACCTTAACAACTCATAAATTCCTTTTTCTTGATATTTTCATGTTTTTTCCCAAGCTTTTTTAGGACACAATGTGAATCATGTTTTTAAAAAATTTAATTTTTTTATTAAAAATAATTTTTTTATATATTTTATATCATTTCGATACACTAATTTTTAAAATAATTTTTTTAAAAATAAAAAAAATATTTTAATATATTTCAACATAAAAATTATTTTAAAAAACAACCAGAATGATATTTTGACACACACATAAACTAATTTTAGTATAAAAGAATTGTTTAGCAAATAGCACACCAAACTTGTAATTATTCATTACATGAAGTTTTTTTAAGCTTTATTAGTTGGCATTGTTAGTGAAAACCTTAACAAAAAAACTTATTCATTCCCTTTAATTTCTATAAAAACGTTTTTTTTATGGTTGATGAGACTTCAATACACGAGAAAGTGACTTATCTACCTACTATAAAAACTCTATTTTCTTTAAATATTTAACAACTCTTTTAATAAATGTAAATACCTAACAACACTATTCTAACCATATAATAATTTCAACCAACAAGAAAAAAAATTAACCCAGAACATCAAGGTTTAGCAATTTTGCAATAAACAGCAGTGATCTTTGATATACTAGCTTGCAAAAAGACATGGGAATTTTCTTGATTTTAGGTTATTTTAATTGGCATCTCTCGGATTATTTTTTTTTTGTCATTTTAATCCAAACCTAAACCTAAAGCTACATCCATTGAGAACTTTAATATATGATTTTCCCACCCTTTTAAAAAAGAAAGACACTGAAAATAGGACTAGTGCTCAATAAATTATGTGCATTTAAAATTTATAGTATTTTACTGAAGAATAAATATGAAATTAATAATGATTTATTGGATATTTTATATAATTTATGACAAATCTGAAACGAGCCAAGAAAGATAATTTTTTGCCAACTTGCCATCAAGGCTTGTTAGTCATGTCCAAAAGCAACATATTTACAGTAAAATATTGAGCTATATCAAAATAATAATACTAATACTAATTATTATAATAATTATTGTTATTTTCGTATCACACCACATCAATTAATACAATATCACACCAATCTTCTTAGGATCCCTTTTTCACTTTATTCACTTCTGCCGAAGTGGGACCACTCCCTTGTCTTTCTTCTGCAATGTCTCCATGCCACGTTCCATCAGCTTCTGTATCCACCTCCTCCTCCTCCACCACCCAATCATCTCTCTCCATCGTTTGTTGATAATATCGGACGGCCACGAACATCATGAACACTGCAAAAACAGTGCATCAGCATTGCATGTCAACAGAGTGTAGTTTTCTTACACCGTGGCCAGCAGCGAGATTATTATTCAATAAAAGAAGGAAAAGAAGATGAGATCATGAGAGAGAGGGTTGCTTTTACCTGCCCAGATGCGAGCCACCATTGAAGAGAGGTTCCATACGAGGGTGAAGATGCACAAGGCCACGGCTTTCTTGTGCGAGCATGATTCCCAAGCATCGCGAAATCGTCGAATCCAGAATTTACCTTCAATTGGGTTTCATTTTTAAGAAAATCAAGATCCATATCTGGAATAATTTATAACAATCTCATACTGTCGAATAAAAAAACAAAAGTGATGACAGAGGAGCCATGCTCTCTGTTGGCCCTACAACAAAAAGGAGATGATATAATGAGGATGGCCCTACACTTTAATTAGCATCCAATACCAGAGATAAATGATAATATGATGGGGATGGTTACAAATGGATTCTAAGACGCTCTTCATTTCCTTTCTTGAGATCCTCCAATGGAGGTGACAGCATCAATCAATAGAGCCGTTACAGCATAAAAACGAAGATCTGCCAGTCACTACAAGGTCAACCCAAGTAGGGTAAACTATGACCAGTGCAAGTGTGGAGTGATCTAGTGAGGTAATAATTCAAGGATTTACCGTAAGCAGTTAACTGCGTGGAGTAGGAAGAGCAGACTTTTGGTACAGTGAAGACTCCAAAAAAGCCTGCACAAGCATAGTTTCAGTAAGCATAAAAAAGTGAAACAACATGCAGGGAATTTAGCAGCTCCCCTTGTGTTTTGCTGCCAACAAGAAGCTTCAATAATTAGAGCAGGCTGTAGAAATCAATGTATATTTCCTTTAGCATGTGCTACCTACCGAAGGAACCCTTTTGATTACATGTTCGTTAAATAGCCACCAACCATACGGGGGTGTTTACAACTTTGATAAAAAAATTATTTTTAAAATAATATTTTTTTTCAGATTTTTTTTTTATTTTTTTAATATAAATACATTAAAATCATAAAAAATATATCAATTTAGTACTTTTTTAAAGTTAAAAATACTTTTAAAAAATATCTAAAAATAAAAATAAAAATTATATCAAACAGTCTTTAAATTTAACTCGGTGGACACCACAAGATCCAAGATTCAAATCATCTTAACTCAATTAACCCTAATATTTTTTTAAAATAAGTTAAGATGATGTGTTCATTTTTAAAAGGTTAATAGGATGAAATAGATTGTAGATCAACCCATTTTCGATCAGATCACACTGGATTGATTTAGGACTCTCTCAATTTTATTTTAACCTATCCCTGCCACCAACCACTTAAAAATATTGAAAAGACAGCTTTACACTTGTAAAAATGGAATTGAATATTATGTCAATCTATAGTCCCAATCCCAAAATTATCTTCCGAATCCCAAAAAAATGCTAATTAAAATTACGGATAATAATAATTTTTTAAAATGTTTTTTTAATATATTAAAATAATATTTTTATTTATAAAAAAATGTTTTTAATATCACTGATTTAAACAATTTAAAAATATAAAAACATAATAAAAAATCAGATATTATAGTGCAAACGCAGCAGCCCCGCGGATTCTTTAAAAAAGCTGTTTATTCTCTTATAATTTCTAATTTCTGAAATTAGACAAATGAAAGGAAACCTACCCAATCTTGCCATCTTCCAAATGGTGATGGAGCTGCCACACCTGGCAAAAACAAAGAGCAACACTGCCATCTGCCATAGTTCACAGACCCATTATTCATAAATATTTGAATGTTTCTCGAGGTGCTAACAAGATCCAACTAATTGAAGTCAAATGAGGGAACTTACCTTCATTGTAGTTGCGGGATCACCAGAAAAGAGAGCTCTAATTTTCAACAAGCACTCATTCAAGTATGGCAGAACCAACTTTAACAACCAAATCGCCTCACCCTCACCCAGTACATAGCTTCCATCATCATCTATATCTATGACTCCCCTGAATTTCAAGGAAAAAAAGAAATATAAATAAAGCCAATGCTTGGGACTACCTAATCGGCTGCTCTTTTTAATCTTAATTTGCTGACTACCTGCAAATAAGCGATCTATACAGAAAAATGGTAGCAAGATAAACAAGTCCCAGATAGGACATCACAGAAATGAAACTGCAAAAGAAATGATCAAGCAGAGTTTAGTATAGGTCTCTGTTTTAAAGCAGAGGAAATACAGTAAACAAAGGCCAACATTGAATTCAGTGTTCTTGTTTTATTTGCACCTGACATTGAGGTCTTTAGTGTAGGAGGATGAGATTATGATAAATGTACCCATTCCAAAGGCTAATGTAGATCTTGATATGTCTCTCCACATTACTAGATCCACTGAAAATTCTCAAAGATTGCCAAAATTGAGAGAATTTCAATAAACAAATTGATCTAGAAAATAATAAAAAGAAACTAACTTTCCCAAGAAATGAAAACTCACCTAGATTTTGAAGCTTGCTATGTCTACGAGTTTCTTTGAAATTCTGGTATTCATTAGCAACTGGAATTGCTGGCAGAAGAAATGATAAAACAATCAGATCATACCAGAAAAAAAAATGAAGCAATCCCAACAAACGCAATAACTTAATGAATCAATAAAGCATACTTACATGGATTACGAGCAGCCTTTGCAAGATTTTGATAAAGAGTTGCTCTCTTTATTACAGGAGGAGGTTGTTTATTCACAATCGAAGAAGCTGGTGCTGTTCTGTTGTTAAATTGCTGAACTTTTTTCACTTCACTCACTACTTTCTTAGGCTTCTGTTCTGGTATACAAATCTCCACCTTCTTGGGCTTATGTTCTGCTACATCCACCTTCTTAGGCTTCTCTTCTGCTACATTTGTTTCCACCTTCTTAGGCTTCTCTTCTGCTATGTTAATCTCCTTGATATCTAAGCTTTTCTTTTCAATCTGAATCTCAATTTCTTCCTCATCTTCATCTCCCTCAATATCTTCATCACCATCAATAACAACATCAGCGTCATCATCATGAGGAGGAGGATTATCTACCAAAAGCTTGGGAGGTGGTTTCTCTACTGACTCATTGGTTTCACTGATAGAAATGACCTTTTCCTGGCACACACCAGACTCTTTACAAGTTTCCTCAGATCCAGTCTCCTCAATTTCAGGTGGGCTCTTCTCAATTCCATTAACAGATTCATCCAGTACCTTGTCAGCTTCTGACTTCGCCATCCTTAACGGAGCTGAATTCCTTTCAACCCCACCGTCAAGTACAGGATCTTTACCTATTTCAGACTGCTCTGCAACCTTAACAGAATCAGATTTTACTTTCCTCAATTCTACATCATATTCAACAACCTCTTTTATATCAGATCTTTGCTTCCTTATCTGCCTCGGGCCTTTCTCATTTCCATCAACAGAAACACCGACCTCTTTATTTGGTTCAGATCTTCCTTTCTTGACCTGAATTGGGCTTCTTACAATCCCATCAAGCTCTTTACTTCCTTTCTTGACCTGAATTGAGCTTTTATCAATACCATCAACTGACAAGCTAAGCTCCTTGTTACTACTCCCTTCAGATCTTCCCTTTCTTGCCTGAACTGGATTTTTCTTGATTCCATCAACCGAAACACTCAATTCTTTACAGGGCTGTTCAGTATTTTTTCCCTTTGCAATCTGAATTGGACCATCTAAGCTCTCAGATTTCCAAGTCTTTCTCTTGCCACTCATAGCCACACTAGCACTTGTACCAGTCTGTCCTCTCTTTACCATCTTTTTTCCAACATCTCCATTACTACTTCTACTCTCTTCAACATTCTCTTCTCCATTAAAAACCTTAATTCCACCTTTAACTTCATCAAGTTTCATTCTGTTCTCCCACACAGAACCTGCTACTACACTAGTTTTAACCCCAGCTCTTCTCCTACTCACATCCATTTTGGACCCTTTTTATCCTATCAACCCTTCTCAAAGGTAACCATGTGCAACTGGGTCATGATAGATAATAATGATTTGAGTCTTTAAGCTCAAGTAATATCACTTGTTGGTGATGCTAGATAGATACATTGGGATCCCTTTAGCTTTTGCAAAGAGAAAGAGAAGACAGAGAGAGAAAGGAAGAAGTTTGTCTTCTAAGAGACGATAAAAGGTGGTGGGGGTTGGTTGCTACTATTAAGCTTTTTCTCACTAGTGTACAATTTTGTTGGGTCTCTCTGTATGCTAATGGAAAAGGGAAGAGAAAGAGAGTAAAATCGGTGGGGTTAAATGATTTGGGTGTCAAGGACGATCACCTCTCTCCCCTTTTTGCTGCTTTTCCTTTGTTTCTTCGAGGAGTACTTATTCTTTCACTTTTTTGTCAAAGGATCTAAGTGAAGAGCACTGTAACCGAGGCTTGAAAACCTCAAACTCATTGGTCTCACATGCAAATACAGACGCTGCCATTAAATCTGTGTCAAAGCTGTCCTGTTAGGTGTAATTCAGCTAGTTTGCCCGGAAGCTAAAGGCAAAAGAAAAATACATGTGGCGTTGGAGGCTGCAATTTGTTAAAGCATTAGTCATCTGCCACAGTAAACAATGTATAACCCTAAAATTTGCCCAAACATCTCTTTTAGATTAGATTTCGAACAATAAAATTCGAAAATTCAAGTGTTTTAACTGGTTATTAATGTGAAGTATAGAGCCTGCACTAAACTATGATTTTGCTTTGACGCATTCTTGAACTAATACCTACTACCTCATCGAAAAACGATTCTGGACTGTGTGACAGTCACGACCTGCAATTTGGCATGTAAACATTTATCTGAGAGGTGAAATTGGTGTGAAAACTGAAAGGGCCTTTACTGTGCTAAGTGGTGTGAAAACTGAAAACGACAGCAAAATTCTTCAAACCCAATCCGATAGGTGAAATTGGTCTTTCTATGGAATAGATTGCCAATTTATTTATTATCGGTGGTTTTTTCCCATTTATTTAACCATATATTATGGTACCATATAAAACAACAACAACAACAACTATAAAATTGCCGATGGTAGTCAAACGTTGAGTAGTTTACCTAATGAATAAACTACAATAAAGTAGCCTTAAAATCACATGTTTGTATACCACTTTTAACCCCAAAACAACTTTACTTTATTCTTTTACCAACTTTGATGTCTTTGATATCATGGTTTTTAACATTTTTAAAGGTATTTTTTACTTAAAAATATGTTATAATATTATTTTATTTTATTTTTTTACATCAACACAATATCATAACCATTAAAAACCATAGTATAATATATATTGGAGAGCATTGATGTGTTCTCCAATACAGCTAGTTTGTAAAGGGAGCATTAGCTATTTTGTGCTGCAATGAAAGCTGGCCAGAAAAAAACAAGGAATATGAAGCCCATTCATTTATCTCTTTGCTTGCAATTGTATGGTGTCCTAAGCTGCCTGCGGCAACAAATAGCTGGTAACTTAAGGGGGTGCCCTGGCACTATCCAGGGTGGCCATTATGCAAAATTGCCCAGCTTTAGGTTAAAATGTCTCAATCACTATTGTTTTCTGGGAAAATAGTTCTACATTTGTGCGGTCATTTCAGGGCATGAAACGAACGTGGCTGCCAATTTCCTTCGATGGTCAGCAATCAAGTAAATTATATTAATTGAAAAGTATGGTTGTGATTATTTTTTAAAATATTTTTTATTTCAAAATATATTAACATAATATTATATTATTTTTTAAAAATTATTTTTAATATCAGCATATTAAAATAATTTGAAAATAAAAAAAATTAATTTGAAGTAAAACAAATTTAAAATTCAATTTTTTTTTAAAAGGCTCAAAAAATATATGTTTATCTTACTTTCAAACTCAACACCTTGAAATATGATTACGAGCTGAATTCAAGTAGGTATAGGTTTGCTATATTGCCATATCCTCGAACCTAATTGTATCCTCAGTCTAATTAGACATAAATTTTATAGATTGTTAGATTTAATGTTTTTGAATTTAGCTAAATCTCAAGTCTAAATGATATAAGGTTAGTGTGGTGCTAGATCTGTCTAACTGTGTGCCAAGTTAATAAAGAAAAAGCATTTTTAACATTTTTTTTTTAATTTTCTGAATTAAACCAAATCTTGTAATGGACTGAGTCGAGCTTGGGTCTAAAAAAAACATGAAAAAGGCTAGCGCATCGGGGAAGAAACTGTTTGGCGTAAGATTGAGTGCATGAATCCAAATGGGAAAGCAGGACCTGCTGGCAGCAGGAGGGGTGCACTGCCAACCTTTTCCCTTTCTTTTAAGATGCCCTGATCATGCGAGTCCAAAGCATTCGTATGGTTGTCCTTATGCGACGACAATGTCATGCTTCTCTCTCACCGACAAAAATTTGCTGCTTCTCCATTGTAAATAATTGTTTCAACTGCTCTAATAGTTATTTTTTTAATGTATTTTTGTTTAGAAATATATTAAAATAATATTTTTATTTTTTAAAAAATATTTTTTATAATAATTTGAAAAAATTAAAAAAATATTAATTTGAAACATAAAATAATTTTATTTTTTAAAGTATTTTTAAAATACAAAAAACAAACATACCAAATTTAACTTATATATATATATATGACCCGCATGCCATCACAAGTCATGAATTTTTCTTTTAAACAAATTTTAGGTATTTAGCCTGTTTTTTAAAAATATTCAAAGAGTAGATTAAAAAATTCATATAAATATCTCATCAAATAGACTGATAATCATTTATATAAATAAAAAAATAATTATTAAGAATAACCAAGAGAAAAATTAAAAAAATTAGGAGATGAGTATAGGCTAACATATTTCATATTACAATATGAGTTATTTACATAGTTGGAATTTATTTATAAAAATCAATACACATATAAAATTTATTAAATAAAAAAAGAAAATTTTTTCATGCAAGGTTGCACAAATTAAAAATTTTATAAAAAAATAATGTTTTTATTTTAAAAATAAATTTAATCTATATAAAATATAAAAATATTATAGATGAACCATGCTAACCTCATAAGAAAATTAACACACACTACATATAATTAAAAAATAATTATTTTTAAAAATACATAGACAAAAGCAGTAATTTAAAAAAATTATAGAAAAAAATAGAAAAGAGTGAGGCCTTGCGCTATGGATCTGGTAAGAGACAGGCCCAATGCTTGGCCCACAAAGATGGGTCTCGCTCGCGTGCCTACAAGTCTAGTTCTATGTCATAGGTTTTTAATTTTTTTTTTGAAGTGAATGGGGTCGACGACGCATTGTTCTCCTTGTTTTTTTTTTTTTTTGTCAAAATAAAAAAGACAACGCATCACCTATTAATTTCAAAATTCGGTCACAAGTGTAGCCGAGAAAACGATGTTCTTTCTTTTTTACATAGAAACCTATTTTTAATCAAAACATTTAAAAAACATCATAAGAATCTTGTTAAACAAATTCATGACCTCGACATAAAAAAATTACCATAAAACCCAAAAGCAACCGAATTTAAAAAACTTCCCGAGCTCATGTGTATTTTATAGATATTTTCAAGATAAAAAAAACCTAATCTCAATCCTTTTCGTCATATGTAACCTCTTGATTTAAAAATAAAATGTTTTTGTGGGCTAAATATTTTTCAATAACAACTTTTTTTAAGCTAAAATTTGCTAAGTTAGAATCTCACATTCTCTTTTCTCTCATTCACTCATAAAATAACTAAAATAAAATAAAATAAAGTTTGATACTAAAATATATATTTTTAAAATTATAGGGGTCAATCACCTAATAACTAAAAAATCAAGGGGATAAAAATAAAATTCTTAAAAAAATTTCAAAGCCACGACATACATTACCCATTTTTCTCATTCTAGTTCCATATTTTTCAATTCAACATTTACCCTTATAAACTATGTAACTGAGTTTCAACTTAAGTTTAAAATTGTTCAATCATGTAAATAAAATGTTCAATAATCAAATCAAATTTTCTTAAAAATCTTATTATTATGATCTACAATAAAATATAAAATATGAAAGGAGGAAGAATAAAGACACCAACAGTAAAATAGCAATGCTGTTTATATCATAGGCAATATTATGTGGGTAAAAAAGAAGAAAGATTCTTCTTGGTACAATCTTTTATTAGATTATTTTACTTCTACACCCACAATTAAGCTTAAATATTACAACTTGTTGTCGTGTACTCGATCTCTTAAATAAGATTTTCCTTTTTAATAATTGTTCTATGTAAACTATACTTACGTACATTCATGCCTTTATATTATCTTTCCGATTAAATACAGAATCTTGGCATGTATTCGATAATTCAAAGCAATGTAATTGGGGGAAGCGGTGGCGGAGACAGGTGGCGGCGGCTGGTATGAGAGTCGTGGAAGGAGGTCTTTTTTCCTGGGGATGTGCATCGGGACTTGTTAAAATACGGTGAAAAATCCTACAGACAGCTCAGCTGTGTATAATTTGGGATTTCATTTGTGGCAGGCAGCACGTGCCGTTTAAGGCACGTGATCTCCGCTCTCCTGATTTGTCCATGCCCCCGGAAAATCGTGTCTACCACGATCCAATATTCTTCCCCGTAAAATGTCTCCATATTTGTGCACAGTACACAGATGACAGCCCACCTGGACGCCTGTTTTTTGTTTTTCCTTCTAATTTCCAATTATTTGCTTTTATTTATAAATTATTGGATTATACTGTAATGACCAGGTAAGACACAGTAGCAGTAAATAAGGGCTGATTTTTCTTTCACTTTTTATCCTCAAATCTTTTTTAATTGCAACTTTGTACGTCTAATTTGATGACAAGTCTGTCAAAATTTGTTAAGGGTAGACAAAATTCAAAAGGGGGACCGACGAGTAAAAAAAGTAAAAAAACATGGTCGATCTTGAAAAAAGTTCTTTTTAGCCCTCACACTTTCGTTTCTCTTTCTTCTCTATAGTCCCTATTTTTTAAAATTTCAATTTTAATTTAAAAGTTTATTTTTTTTGGATTTCAATCTCTAAATTAAAGAGAGAGAAAAAAAGTCGCCTAGAAATATTAAAAAGAGAGAAATTTGTTGAAAAAGTCGCCTAGAAATATTAAAAAGAGAATTGTTTAACCACTTTTCCACTATAAAAATCATTGTTCATCTTGTTCAATAGAGAATTTTGATGATGATAATTTTTATTGTTAAACATTTATGAAAAAATCAATGAAGTATTGGTTTAGTGGTTAACATACTGTTATATTCTTGTAAGAATAAGAACATAAATTCAATCCATATGAAACGTATTTATTAGAAGATGTTATATTCTTGTAAGAATAAGAACATAAATTCAATCCATATAAAAGACGTATTTATTAGAAGAGGTAGCTATGAATCCTAAACGAAACTAGTTTCACTCTTAAAAAAAATATTAGGATATCCAAATAAAAAAAATTATATAAAAAAAATCAGTTACAATTTAAATAGCTAATTTACTTTTTACTAATTCACTTTTCATTGTCAATTTTAATATTTTATTTTTAACATCTCATTGATTTCTAATTACTTACTTCCATTTTTTTTTATACATAAAATTTACCCTAAATGTTATTTGTAACTTTTATCCTTTAAAGTGATTTTTCTTTCACTTTTTATCTCATTTTTTTTAATTGTAACTTTGTACGTTTAATTTGATGACAAGTCTGTCAAAATTTGTCAAGGGTAGGCAAAATTCAAAAGGGGGACGGACGAGTTATAAAGGTAAAAAACATGGTCGATCTAGCCCTCACACTTTCCTATCTCTTTCTTCTCCATAGTCCCTACTTTTTAAAATTTCAATTTTAATTCAAAAGTTTATTTTCTTTGCGTTTCAATCTTTAACTTAGAAAAAAAAAAGAAAGAAAGTCGCATGGAATTATTAAGAAAAGAGAAATTCATTGATTTTGTCACTTTTTCACTATAAAAATCATTATTCTTTGTGTTAACAAGTTTTATTTAATAATTTTTATTTGATAGCTATTGTTTTTATTTTTAAACATTTACAAAAAAAAGAAAGATCGGTTATGATTTAAATATTCTAATATTTAATAAATATTATTTCATAAAACAAAACCTTGCCCAATTGTTATTTGTATAATATATTCTAATATTGAATGAATATTTTATTTTATTTTATTTTGACATACTCAATTAATTTTATGACTTGAATCATGAATTTAATTTGAATTATGAATTTAATAAAATAATATAAATTAATTCAATATACCAATAACTTAACGTTCTTATTAAAAACTCATAATTTTTTTTTAACACTAAAACCAATCTATATAACGCGGGGAGTAACCTAGTTTCACACTAAATGCTACAATGATATAATTAGTAATAGGAACTTTTTTCTATATTTATGTGATTCAAAATATCTTCGCCGTTAATTCTTAACATCTCATTAATTTCTGATTACTTACTTCTATATTTTTTTATATAAAATTTACCCTAAATGCTGCAATGGTCGAGTCGGTATGATTACCTTGATTAAGTTAATCTTTTGATAAAAAAAAAATGTAATCTGATCCCCACTTAATTTTTTTAAACTAATAATTAAAAAAAAGGAGCATCCCTTTATCTCGCAAAACCACACTTGAAAATTAAAGGAGGAACATAAATTTGAAATAAAATACATTCCTTTTCAGTAACTGCGTGATTAGCAGGACGATTGGAAATCATGTGTCTAAAAGTTGGAGCAACATTCAGCTATTCATATACCTTAATGCTCTCTTTTTGTGACGTCGAAGACAGGATAATCTAAGCTCCAAGGAGCTACATTCAATTATTAACAACTAGTTTTTATAAAATAATACGACATCGTTATAAACAGGGTGTTTGTCATTGGGATTTAATCATATTTGTTTAAAAAGATTGATTTTTCTTAACTTTAAATTATTATTATTATTTTTTGGATAGTTTTGATGTGCTAATATCAAAAGTAACATAAAAAATAATATTATTTTGATACATTTTCAAATGAAAAATACTTCAAAAAATAAATTTATACCATAATCACAAACACATTAAGACAATATTTAACATTTTAATAATAATTACTTTTCAAAGTATCTTTTATTTTAAAATATATTAAAATAATATTATTTATTTTTCAAAATATTTTTAATATTACCACATCATCAACCCATCAACCCATCAAAACGATTTAAAACATAAAAAAAAAAAAATAAAAAAAAAATTTTAATTTTTTTTTTAAAACATGATATGAATATATTTGTGTGTAGACTGTGTAACCAATCGAATCTATACCAAGAGCTGAGATTCATTCAAAGACATAACATGGAGAATTCCATTAGCGTCACTGGGAAATACAAATTACAAGGATACAGCTGAATTTCATTAAAAGACATAAAGGTGACCATGTTTAATCGTTTACTATAAAGAATTGTGACCATTAATGTGTTTGTACTGTGAGCATCTCTGGCAGGCAGGCATCGTAGTTTAATAATCACTTGCAAGTTCTTCGACATCGCTGGCCATTCCATTGCGTTACCGTTATGTACTTGAGGGTGGCCACTGGCCCGTATTTTTCAAACGCAAAGGAAGTCAAGTCCCAGGAAAAAGACTGTTCTAAGCTTAGCCTCTGACTTACAGATATATACAATCGAACTGAATGTCTGTACATACACAGGAGGTGGATATTAGCCAAAAAAAATTCAGGAAATAAGTGAATACCTAATCTGTCTGTAAGGACCAAAATTGTAAAGGGAAAAAGTCCCCGAACTCCTTGCTTTAATGTCTACAACAAGAAATTTTGCTAACTGACACTTTACAGGTTGCCTTCCACAAGAACAGGATTCTGCAGCCCCCTCTGATCTGGACCAAAAATAGTAGTAGTGTTTGCGTTGGTTACTTCAGTAAGAGTGAGAAGGGGCAAAACGCATTATAGGTCGTGTTTGCGTTGGTTACTTCAGTAGACTGGGGTAGAGACTGACCTTTAAAAAGACGACCTCAATCTCAGTTTGCAGCACATTGTCACTTTATATGATATGCCTATATTTCTGACTTAATCTGCCAGCCAAATTTACGGTTTTTTGTTCCCCGACAGCGACAAGATATCCCTATCTGTCTTCTCAATCAACTGTATCGGATGCCTCTGCTCCGCCAGAGTTCTCCCTAGAAATGAAATTATTAGTTGATCTCACTTGACACTGCCACTCTCTATTCGAGCATGTAACTCCTTGTGAGCACCTATCTTTGACTTCTCACTTTCTGCTAATTTCTTCATTTCTATCTCTAGCTGCTTGCAGTTCTCCACGTGGGCTTTGTGGAACAGTCTCACAAAATCAAACAGAGTTGATACAACTGCAGAAGTATTTTAAGGACTTAAGAGATGGAAATTACTATGAAAATGAATGCATTGCCAGCTCCTCAAATTAGGCACTAACGGCCATTTATGTAGATAGTTGGAATAAAACTAATGAACTTTCAGATGAAGCTTTGTCACATAACAAAAAATTTGCATCAAGTCTTTCAGTGCATAAAACAGTGTAAAATTTATTGATCCAAAGGTGGTAGCAATCGGGATCACTACAAACTACAAAGATAACAAGACTGGGTTTAGAAGTATCCTTCAGATAAATTGACGTGACAGATGATGCAATTATGATTAGATCACAAGAAGGGTCAGCTTTTGAGCTTCCTATCACTTCGCATCGATGCTGGGTGGATCGGCTAGACACAGAGACAATGAGGTTTATGCTGGATACCGGACCGATCAATTTAGCACAAAATATGGCATCTAGGTCGTGCTTGGTTCGGAGTTAAAAATTGGATTTTGGTGTCAGGAGTGTAAAAAAGTAGTTGAAGGATGAAGCGTTAAGGATGTTTGGCAGGTGTACAAAGTTGTGTAATGGTGGAGCCCAACAAATTTAAATTCAATAGCCCACTCAAAAGTAAACACTTAAAGCCTTTCAGGGGTTACTTGTTAACCCCCTTAAAAATCTCCATCCCCAAAGCTTGCCAAAGAGAGATAAGGGAGTTTGCAGTTACGTGTTAACCCCCTTTAACCCAAACCAAACACGACTCTGATGCAGTCCATAAAGACTTCCATTAAAGTATCAAAACCCAAATAGACAGGACCAATTTTTGTTTTCTAAAAAACAGCAAGTTTGAGCCAGTATGTTCATTAAATAGAATTAACTAACAATAATCTACTGCACTAGAATGGATCAAGATAAAGAACAAACGATGCCATATTATGAAAAGATTTCGGTTTTTGTTCATCAGAAATAAAAAGAACGATATCACAAAACTGTTGTAGGTAACAAATACCTTGTTCGAAGGGACAGCGAGCTGGATCTTCTCCAAAATAAAGAATCAATGCATCCACATTTTTCCCCTGAAATAACATCAAATTCCAGATTCAAAAAAAAAAAAAAAAAAGAATTGAGAGTACTAAACACTAAATTAGCACCACTCTCCAAGCAAAGTTTTAAAACCTACCACTCCAGAGTACAAAGAAGCCAAAGACCTTACTTCAGCTTCGGCAAAACAAAGGAACTCCTTTAAAATCTGAACAATGGAAGATAAGCTACATGAGAAAATTTGTATGGATATGCTCACACAAATGTGTGCAGGCATGCCTGTGTTAACCAACATGAGTAGATATGCTTGCGCTTGTATAAGGACTAGCAAACACACACACACACACAAAGAGCTTCTAAGAAATCTATAAGATCACTATTTGGGTGCCGTGCAAATCATTCCCACAAATTCATCTGTAGTTTTTAGCTACCTTACATCTTCAGTGTTAGAAATTCTTTTAATCATTGAAAATCAAAGCTATATTCTCTCTTTAGAGAATCTGAATACAACATTCTGTCCTCTATGCACAATGGTTTCATTAATTTCCCTTTACCAGTACCTGAATCAGTTCTAATTTGGAGTTCATTTTAACATCACATTAGATCATGTTATTCTACAAGCAGTTACAGAAACTAGAGCACAATCCAAAATCACCATATCAATGGATCAATAAGGGTAAATCTTTGCTAGGATTAGGTTTATTACCTGATCTAGTAACACAATAAATTATGTCTGGCAGCCATATAATCACCATCTCAATGTGTACATCTTATATAATAAAAAATATATCCCTCCTCAACGGACAACTGACCAAAAGAGGGGGATCTTTCCCTCCGGAGGTAGAAAAATTGTGATTTGGATAGCAGATACAAATTAGTACATATATGTAAACAGCATGTGTGGGTGTGCTACATATATGTATCTACCAAATTCTATAGGATTGTTCCTCTTTTCAATCCTTAACATTTCCAAATTGCCTATTATTATATCTAAGGAAAAAGTTTGCTTGCATTGAGGCACATATATTATCTGAATAGATAATGTAAAGTCCGAAGCTTGGTTTAAGAAAAACAAGTGATCAGCAGCAATTTTTTTAAGCTCGAATACTGGCAAAAGGGATAGTAATCTACTTAGAAGAATTAAGAATTGCAATTGATAAACAAGTAATAATGGACATATTTTTTTTCTCCTATATGCATGACAAAAAACATCATCTGATTTGCAGTACCTTACAGAATGTGTCTGATATAGGACCATCGCTTTCCGAGGCAGACAGTTCCTGTACAACTTTTTCCAGTCCTTTGCTTATGGCTTGCATTTCCTCCGCCAAAAATTTCAATTGTATCTAGATGAAAATCCAACATGTTAGTCACAAGATACTGGCTCTTCCAAATACATTGAGATGATCAACAAAACCGACAGTTGTACCTTTGATGCAGGTTCCAAACTGGCAAGGTCTTTAGAAAAATCTAGAAGTTCTGGTAGCTTGTCAGCAAGAACCTACAACATATCAAGCAAAATGTATATGATTTGCAGAAAATTCTCTGTGAACTAAGAAATAGAAGCTTCAATCCTCAGTATGGCAGTAAAGATAACATCTATAAATTTGACGCACATAACATAATCTCATTTCCATTGACAAGCCTCTGTAAACAAAAATTAGAAGCCATGTCTGCTTTGAGCTCAAACAAAATAATAAGAGCAGAACAGACCTCTTGGTTTTGGAAAAATAGGAATCAAAACTGGACCAGAAAAGCAAAGAGAACAGAAACGAATTAATGGGCCAGTTGAGTTCCATGGATAGTTGGCATCTTGACATAGTTCAAAACCATGTACTGACTTCATAACATAAACAACAGCATACACTTGTACAACTTTGTACAATCATATAAAGAAAACATACAAATACATTAAGTTTTAGATCTGTCTTGTTATGTTATACATTACTAGTACAGAAATATATGCTATGAAAAGTCATGCATAAAAGAACAAGATGAGAAAATGACTGCATGTCTCCATAGAATTCTCAAATCATTACATTAAAAGTTAGTAGAAGTTAGTTTCATAGGAAACTCATGAAAGTAGGAATTTGTACCTTGCAAAGATAATGCATGAGAGTCATCTTGTTGTTCCTTGCCCGTGTATCTGTTAGTTTAAGAAGGCTATCCAATCTAAATCCAATAGCTGAACCTAAAAGAAAAGGGAAAAAACTTTCTATTCAACTTAAGGAATAAAATGCAGTTACCAGCTGAAAGGGAAAAAAAGAGCTACAAAATGAAAATTAGGTCATATGATAAGATTTGATAACCCAAGGCATCTCAACTCTCAAATAATTTCTAAGAAAATAAACAAATAGAAAGAATTCTCAAGTGATCACAGGGTAAGAGGTCGAGGAAATCTGTACACAGAACATAAAATAAGACTTTGGTATCTTCAGATAAGGAATTCTAATCTTGTGAGTAAATGAAAAATACCAAAAGTTCAATCTCCAATCATCATAATCCATGGACTCTGCAAAAGTAATCCAAAACCTAATTGATAAGCATGTTGCCAGTGTTCCCATAGAGGACTTTTCATAATGGCTGTGAATGGTTGCTCTTTGAATAAGGCTTAGATAATCTTTGTACCAGTAGTCAAAGCGAACAATTATAACTTATCTGATGAGTGGTACATTGCTGGTCATGCATGTATTTCTCTCATTTTCATCCAGTAAATAACAATCAATAAGCAAAGGTTAGAAGAAATGACTAATCATTCACAAAAATAATGACAAACATGCCATCATAAACTATTTTGAAGAAATAGGTACTGCTTCAAGGTGCTAGTGAGAGTGTGGGATGAAGTAACGAAATTTCATGAATAGTGTCAAAAGAACACCAATCAGCAACCTTCCTATTTTATGGAAATGACTTAGGACTATAAGAGATAGGAAAGAGTTTTCTCTGATCAAAGAAGAAATATTTATCGAGAAAGGAGAAATGCAGAAGTATGACAAAAGGGAGATTTTATAAGAAATCCTAGATAAAAAAAAAATTACAAAAATGGAAGGGCTTTTCAAATCAAATTCAATATCAGCTAAAAGAATTCGTCCAGGAATAAATAAAAGATAAAAAAACAGAACAGCACCACCTCAATAAAAAAGAGGAAACCCCTCTATTTAAAATTAGTTTCTTACAAAATAGTGGATCTCAAAAAATTAAATAACTCCTTGTCCAAATACACCAAATCACCAAAATCAGCGTGCATGTTTCCAAGAAATCTACAATTTTTCTCCATTTCAAAATCCATTAATGACTGCATGAAAAATATTTAAGAGCTTGTATCATTCATCAGAAAGTCCAGGTGATGGAGGACACACTAAGGATCTCATTATTTTTATGCTAGAAAGCAAATGCATGAATTGGATATTAATTATATATTTTTCAAAGCATCTCATGTTATGTTTTGAGGCAGCTTTGGATGTTATTGAAATTTAGCTCTCTCATTCTCTATTGCTAAACCTTTCTCCCTCATCTTCTCTCTTTTCTGTCTCTCTTTCTTGTCCTTTTCTTGTACGTGATCAGCAGAAAGACTATTCCACATGTTCTAAAAGGATAATTCCAAATGCTCATAAAAAAACCAGGTGCATAATTGACTACCTAAAACTAGGAAATGAAGTCCTTCAAAATTTTCTACATGCAGAGGAAAGCCCTCACAAGTCTACGATTTCACATGAACATAATGTTCCTGCAGGCAATCATGGAAGCAGCAGATTTTTTTATAGCTCCAAGTATACAAGAAACCACACCACAGCAAGATAGTAGAGCAATAAAAGTTTCTGCTTACCCCTAGCAGTTCCCTGATTCAAAGCATTTCCTAGCGAAAGAATAGTCTGCATGATTCTCTTCAATTTGGCAGAATTCTTTATCTGATAAAGCACCAGAAACAATGATTCCACTACTTAGAACATGTGAATTAGTACCCAAAACACTAACACAAATTAAAAGAGTTCACAAATTAAAAGAGTGAGTAATATAGTCTAACTTGCCTCTTCTGCTGCAGAGTTCACAACATTAAGGCTTTTTCTGAGGTCAGAGACCTAAAATTGCAAACATAAAATGATAGGCTCAAATCTAACACAAAACCAAGCATAATAAGGTAGCAAACATTTGAATGCATTTCCTAACCTGGGAATGAAACTGCATCTTGAATGAGAAAACTCTGAGTTTAGATTCTACTCTCGGCACCTTCATTAACTCTAAGAAGAACTGCCAAAGAGATCCATAAACTTATAAAATAAGAAATAGATGCCAAAAACAGATCATTTCAATTAACACAAACTCTCTCATTCTTAGTTGACCCTTTCTAAGGAAAAAGGCTGGGAGCCCTCTTTATCCATGCTAATTGAGAAAATGAAGATGGGTTTGAATCATAGGAATTATGTCAACACTGCAACTTCAGACTCGTCCGAATGTTTGGTTTGACATAACAAAGAACAAATATAAATCTAAAACATACCCAGTTTACCTTCTCATACATCTAACCATTGTTGACAAAAGATGTGATATCAATATACATAAAGAAAAAAAGCCTCGAGTCCATCCAAAGTTCAACCAAAAGAGGTAGCAATTTTGAAGTATCATAAATATCCATGTGTAAGCTGTGTAGTTCTGAGAAATACTTCAATTTTTCTACAAAAGACAATAACAAACAATTGTCAAGACAAAAACTACATCTACTGACCTGTTCACATTTCCCTAACTTTTCCTTTTCTCCAGTGTATCCCTGGACAAAGAAATGAAATGGCAATTATAGCCCAAAACACATGAAACTATCATCTTGAAGCTCCTGACTGAAATCAATTAGAGCCCATGGGATAACAGGACAAAATTACCGAGTTGAAAACTATAACTATAAAATACAAAGCAAAAAAAAGGGCTATCTCCAGTTACGAACCCACCAAAATCGAGTCATAGAAAGAAGTTGAGAAAATCCCACTGTTGAACATTTTTTTAATAGAGTGGCTGGCCCAAGATTTGAATATGCACCATTATGGTTGCAAGTGCAAGATATCATAATATCATACCTAGCAATAGCCCCAAATGATACATGATAGAGCATAATACTAACTTAAAAAAAGAAGAAGAAATCACCTTAAGCAGTTCCATCTCCTCTTTTGTTGGACAGAACTTTATGAGGTTGTCAACCTGATCAACGTCTAATGCTGAATCCTCAAGGGAAAGTACTAAACTCTGTCAATGCATCATACAATGGAATGAGGATAGCAAGTTATAAAATATTAGCCATATGGGCTGTGACTGAAAGCGATAAATAACAGGAAATAAATAAAATCATAGCAGACTTGAAAATATTTTATAGAAAGTGCAAGATGGAAAGAACAAAAAAGGACAGGAAAGGAAATTTCAATAATGCTTATCATGTGATTTACAATTCCTAGACCTCAATAACATAATCTGACTTTCATTGCAAGGGATGAAATTTCTTTTCAAAAACTATAAAATATAGGGCCTCTAAATAGATGTACTGGCATAACTATTGAGATGACAATGAGCATGATGACATTAATGTAAGCTACAGAAATGCTTGTATTGGCATCAGGGGTATCATGATTGTTTAAGAAAACATGCTGATGCAGACAACAAAAGAAGCAAGATTGCTAACTTTCTTTAGACAAGGGCATTTCTGTAATTTCCAGATCTGCTGAAAATTCTGGGAAATTTGTCTAGGTTTTGATTTTATATTTAGCATTCTATTATTTATAAAGTAATTAGCTTTATTGGGGTTTTCCTATTCTAAATAGATTTCTTATATGGGAAAACAAGTCCTTGTTGGACTAGAAGTCCTAGCATCTCTATAAAACAGCCATAAAACGGCCATGCAATCTTTCAATATTTTAATTACAGTTAATGAATAAAAATTCTAGCAAATTGCTTTTGATTGTGTGATTCAATCTTCCTTAGGTGTGACTCCTAAGAACCCTAGGTGTGGAGCATAGGTTTTTCTATCCTCTAGGTGTGACTCCTAGAATCTTATCCCGCCCACATCCTTCCTCAAATTCCAGCTGAAATCCCACATAAATACAGCTCTAAACAGAGCTATAACAGCATCTAAAAGTCAGATTAGAACGGCCCACAGGCTGTCCTGCAGTAGTTAGGATATGTTTGGTATTGTGGTCTTGGTCCACAAAAGCCAATTGTGGTGGTGTCCCAAAGCATCAATTGCAATGCTTTCCCCAAAACACCTAAACTGCATTCATGGTCTTGGAGTATGCCAAACACAATTTCAGAGAAGGACATGATTCCCAAATATTATCCTAGATATGACAAAGTATTTGTGTTGCCGTGCTTATACAGGTAGGTAAAGGGACAGTGAAGTTGAATTCTGTATTCATCTGAACTAGGAGGCTTTGCTCTGAACATTACATATAGCTTACCATTAATTCATGTAGTGGCACTTTCACCTTTGAAAGCATGATTTCACAATTGTATGCCCGTCTGTGGTCAACCTGCAAGAAAATAATAATGAGGAGAACATACAAATACTTAGACACACACATATAATATAACTTCTCAGTTTCATTCCCATAATATAAAAACTGAAATGCTGAAATTTTTCATAAAATAGCATGTTATCAATTAGCAAAATAATGTATTACTCATATTGTCTTAAGATTCATGACAGGAGATTGCTTAGTTTAGCCTTTAAACTGTGATGCTTGAAACACTAGAATGACTAAGATGGTAATTTTTGAATTGACATTTACAACAAAATTCCCCAGAAGTCTGAATGATACAAGAAGATGTAAATGTAGACAATTTCATGCAACAAAAATAAATCGCAGCAGCCATGCATTACAGTTATGGGTTTGAAGTATTAAATTTGATCCCGTGACTGTCAAAAAAGATAACAGCAGCAGTCTGAGGGTTGAAAGGAAAGGATTTATGCACACTTCTTCAACTGAGAGAAAAATGGCAGCAATCTAGCACTGCATCAATTAGGACAACATATTCATTTACCAGTTGCACTTTGTCAACTTTAGGTCCCCGTGAGCTGCGCACACTTGATTTCCCGCCATGATCTGTATTTGAAACTGCCGCGGAAAAAAGATTCTCAAGTTCTGACATGTCAATCTCTGGGGCCCTATGTGAAGAGGTCACAAAAGAAAAGGCATATGAGACTTAAAAGAATATGAGGGCATGGTATGGCAGAATGCTTGGAACGCAGCACATACTTGGAGGCTTCACCAGACTTTTGCGCCTCAGCCCACAAGCTTCCTTGTACAGCTCTTGTTAACTTCAACCAATGCAATGGCTTCAGCTTTTTAGTTTGATTGTTCCGTGAACTTATAGCACGCGACAAACGTCCCTTGGAGATGGAAGGAGAACCTAAGGGAGGTGCAGGAGTAGGTGGTGCAGGAGATGGAGACCCAGGCGATTTAATATTTCTATTGTTGCCTGTCTTTAAAGTGCCCTTACCAGAAGGAGGAGGAGGTGCAGAAGGGGCATGGGAGGAATTGGTTGACATAATGGGAGGAGGCGGCAGCGCTGGTGGCATAGGAGATGAAACGGTTGGGCTGGTTGTTGGCCCTGAATGAAGAGGAGGGGGAGGAGGGGGAGGTGGATGAGGTCCAGATCCAATAGCATGATTCTCCTTCAAAGGCAGAGGTGGTGGAGGAGGAGGTCCAGCTCCAATTTTGTTATTCTCCTTCAAAGGTGGCATTGGAGGAGGTGGTGGTGGTGGAGGAGGTCCAGCTGCAATGGTGTTATTCTCCTTTAAAGGTGGTGGTGGTGGTGGAGGAGGAGGTCCAGCTCCATTTTTGTTATTCTCCTTCAAAGGTGGCATAGGAGGAGGTGGTGGTGGTGGAGGAGGTCCAACTGCAATGGTGTTATTCTCCTTTAAAGGAGGTGGTGGTGGTGGAGGAGGAGGTCCAGCTCCAATGGTGTTATTCTCCTTCACAGGTGGCATTGGAGGAGGTGGAGGTGGAGAAGGTCCAGCTCTAGTGGTGCGAATCTCCTTCATAGGCGGCATTGGAGGAGGAGGTGGGGTTGGGCATTCAGTTTTGATAGTGGAATTATCCTCCTTAAAAGGTGGATGCGGTGGTGTTGTTGGAGTTGTAGGTTGAAGGCCAACTGATAATGACTTACCTCTGCTCTCTAAAAAGGTTTCATTCTCTTTGATTGATGAATGATCTACTGATTCTGAAGCTGAAAGATCAAGAGCTGGTAGTGGATGAGGAAAAACTTTTACAGCACTAGATGTCACAGCAGGCCGCAATGGTGGAGGCTGTGCAGGTGTTGATGGTGAGATAGAACCACCTTTGGGTTCCATGAGTTCAATTCCAGCTGTAACTGTCAAAGCTTGTTCTGAGGAGACTGTAGATATAGTGGTGTGAGTGACCACAGATTGGCTGGCAAGTTCTTTTCTAGGACTCATTTCTTGCTTTTGAGTGCTAATCTCTACTCTGTGCTGCAAATCTGCATTTGAGTCTTCCTGAGCAATATTCGATGCACTAATTTGTTGGAGCAAATTAAGTGCAGCATCTGAGTTGGGATCAGACCAGTCAACAGAGCTAAAGATCTCTTTAACCTTAGCAAATGCTTCCACAGGAAGGCCTTCCTTCTCCTCAAAGCCAGTGAAATCTTCTGCAACAACGGATGCAGCTGCATCCATTTCAGAGAAAAGAATCTTCATCCAAAGAATGAACTCCGTGTTAGAAGGAGAATAAAAATATCAACAAGCAGCTATGCCAAATGAAATATGGTGAAGGATTAAACCTCTGCCCTGAAGTCCTTTGGAAATCGATCTTTTGAGTCCCATAACATGTCAATTTCATCACGGTTAAGCATCAAGATATTTGACCTAATAAAAGCTGTGTTAAACACAGCTCGAAACATCATCTCTTCATGTTCCATGTCATCATTTAAACTGACACACTCCAGCACAACATCACCTTGTATATGGCAATTAATGTCAACTTTAACAAGTTCACATTCTATCTGCAATAAATTATAAGGGGTTCAGAAAATCATATATGTAAAGACACCGGTTTCAGTGTTTGTGGAGAGCAGATGCCACAATAAATAGCAAATAGAACATATAAAGAAAAGTGAATCTTACAACAGAAAGAATAGGAAATGTGTTGAAACACAAAACCAAATTTCGCATGCAACTTTAATGTCACTGGAACAAAACTTAAACGTAGCTGACTCAAGCTCACTGCAGATTAAGCCTCTGAAAAATGAGCTCGAGAAAGAGTACATCATGAATTAATCATAATCCTTTGTCCACAACACATCAGTATAGGGACTGACAAAAAACATATTCTTCTGGTTAACATCAACCATATTTTGTCAATTCTAGATTCAAAAGCCACTCAAACTTTCACCTTGTGCTGCTCATTATTAAATTCTCACACTATTAGGTTTCCTGCACTTAAAATAACCAGACTGATAATCAGGGTGTCTACTATCATCTTGGGACAGTAGATAAATACATTCCACTAGTGGGAAGGTGTCGTTGAACAAAAGATCCCAGGATATAAGTGCTTAAATCATAAATGACCTATTTTTTTCCCCTAAGGATAAGACTCTTAAGAACACCTCCAGAAAGATTCAAGAAAATATTTGCTCGCCGGTAAAAAGATTGAACAATAAAATTGTCTGGCTCTAAATATTCAGAAAAGAAAGGTCTTACTTAGTGATTAATGTTCCCAAGAATCAGGTTCATCAGGAACACAAGTGCCTTGTGATATTTTGGTTTTCTCCATCCATTCTGACAGCTTTCATGGGGAAATTACCTTGTTGAGATGAACACTGCTTGTTCAATTGAGCAATCATGAGGCTATTTTGGTTCAAGTTTATTTCTTTGAAAATCTTAGTTGATGGCCAAAGCTATTCCTTTTCTATTAAATTTCACAATCCAAAGATATCATCACCGTCTAAGAGTGCAAAGTGAAGCAATAATTGGAATATAAATGCTGTCAAATGATGTTTCAACAGTTGACTAGCACAGATTAATAGATCTTTGTGGGAAATGGCTTGACGAAGAAGAATGTACAAAATAAAAAAGCAAGTATATGTAACATAGAATTACGAAGTGACCTGCTTATAAGCCCGAGGAATTTTTCCTTCCTTTTGAGTTGAGTACAGAAGTTTGGAAGTTCGATCAGAAACAAGAAAAGGGTCCTGCCCGTATACCCGAAATAGTGGACGGCAGCCCCCTTCCCCATCAAAATTAGGAATAAATCTTAGAATGGCACAATCCAACGTGAGAGCTCTATCCAATGGAGGCCAATATGAGGCTACATTCCTCCTTGAGACATATTGTAGATACCTCAGTTGAGAAGGTACAGGATTCAATGCTGAGAACAACTGCAAAAGCTCTCGGGGAGCCTGCCTATGAATCATGTCCAAGGTCTTCTGCTCTCCACTATACTGTTTCCTATAAATCAACAGTCCAGCCAGCATGAAAGCGAGAACCGGCCAACCACCACGTTCACAGTGCATTAACAGAATATTCTGCTGTCCAAGGGAGAGCCAACTTTCACCTGATCTTAGAAAATGGTGAATCATCTCCATCGTGAGCAATGGGGAACCCTCGTATTGCCAAGGGTACTCCATTAAGGTCATATCATACTTGAATAAAGCATCAGCAATCTGGGTTTGTTTCTCTCCCTCACGGAAATTAAACACCAAGAATGAAGCATCAGGGAAATGTTCTTTAAGTTGACCAACTGTTCGACCAATGTAACCTTCATAATCTTCTTGCCAAGCATCAATGTTAAAGCAGCAATCAAACACTGCATTCACACAGAATGTGTAAATGTCAACCATCAAATTAATACTTAACCCAGTTGTTGTTTTAAGTCATAACCCCCACAAGACAGCAAAAATTATATCTTTTCTAAACGATCCCAATCATAATCCTCTAGACTCAAGCCACCAAGCCCCAAAAATTTTCAAATTTCAAAATCCCTACGATATACAAATGAATTCATTACTTTTTAACTTACTGCTGTAATTAAGCTAATGAGTTTCTAATAGACGTCTAAAAATGAGTACAACTCAAGTAATAATCAAAATCCACAACCCCAAATTGCATTCTCCACGATACATTTTCTTACCATCCTAACACAAAAAGGAATTTTTTTTTTAATCATACCCACTTCAAAACATGACTCAATTATTCAAACACAATCAACCAATTCTCTCCCTAAATAAAAAATGAACTTAAAATTCAAAAAGAAAAGAAAAATTGCAATCTTTCTTAAAAATGAAAGAAAACTGACCATAAACACGCTCGGAAATCTCAAGAAGGCCATCAGGGGGTTTCCTATAAAACAATTTGCGAAACAACGACATCTTAATGATTCCTCTATCTCCCCTTCAAATTTCCAAACTTTTTTCTTGCAACACAGCCTTTTACGTAACAAGGAGGAGTTCGGTTGGGTAGTAACTAAGAAAGAAATGAAAATGAAAAGGTTGGCTTCAAGGGAAAGAAAAGTGGAAGTATTTGTTTGTTACCATAAAAAAGCCAAGCTGAATTGAATCAACCATCCATCCGGTAGCTGTTGCCCCTTGGCATGAAATTTATTTCATTATTATTACCTAACTGATAAGAGGGGATGGCATGACGGGTTGCTTGGTCTTACGTGGATGCCATTAACTATCGACATTGAGGAAATAGTTGAAGTCATCATGCATGATCCTTACGACTTTTTCAGTGACTTGGTTTTCTTATTGTTATTGTCAGTATGACAAAAGATTTGATTGGATAAAGTTGAATAGTCTACAAATGGGCTACTTTCTGTTGACTTCAATCAGTGGGCTAATAGCCGAATATCATCTGCTTAGGCCCATATTATCTATGGGCCCTCTTGAAGATAACGTGTTCCTCACAATAATTTGAAGTAATTTTGCAAAAATTGGATGTATTTTGGGTATTTTTCCCTTCTGCTTTATGATTTGGGAAAAATCACATCGGCGGCGAGGCCTTCAGGCGCACCCCTAGTTATAAACTCATGACCCCTAAGTTGAACTCATGGAAGAAGGGTGTTCTGCCTAAATGATCTTTGTCCTTTAGTTTAGTGTAAACTCAAAAAGTTATTTTTTTTAATTTATAAGTTCATTTTTAATTTTTGAGCTGTTTTTTATATTATTTAAGATCATTGCTTTATAGATATATAATATTTTTTAGATATTTTAAATAAAAAACATAATGAAAAACAAGTTTTTTTAAAAAAAAAACTCATGACTTAATTTTCAATGACCTTTGGTTGTCTATAATTAGGTAAGCACGAGATGCATTACCTTTTTTTCAAAAAAATAAGGGTTGAACAAAATTAAAAAAAGAAAAAGGTAAGAAGTCAATCCAGGCACATGGGTTTGCGCTGAAAGACCCACATGCTTGAATTTTTGTTTTATTAGTTTTTTTCTTTTAATTTATTCTTTAGATTGTTTTATTAGATTTGTTTTTCAAATTTTTTTGCATAATTTTATCAAATTTTTATGATGTTATTTAATTGAATATGATTTAATATTTACTTAGTTTAATTTCAATTTTTTTTATATTGAAAGGAATTTTTTATGTGCAACCCTACTTAAAATATTTTTTCTTTAATTTTATTATATCATTTTTCTATAAATGTTTTTTATTTATTTTTTTATTAAATAAAATATTGGTTCCAAATAAATAATATTATTAAAACAATCGAGTTTATGCCCGTGTTTCGGGATTGGATATCTACTTCAATATCTATTTTTTCAATTAAGCATTTAATTAAATATCATTTATTTATTACTTAGTTTTCATATAAAATAATAATATTTTTTTTCTAATACGTATAACCTTGCCTAATATTTTTTTTTATTCAATCTTTTTTTGTCTATTTTTTTTATTGTTTGATTAAATAAAAAACTTATTTTGATAAACTAAGTCATTGGACATAACTAAATGGTCTATGTTGTGAGATCAAATATCTTGATATAAATATAACTTATGATTTTTCTAGTTTAGTATTTAATTATTGTTAATGATTTTTTTAATATATTTATTAGTATAGACAATTCTCAATTTATTTAATTAAATGTATTCATAAATCTTTTAATTTATGATTATGATTTTTATATAAGAAAAAAAACATTGAAAAAGTTTATATATTTATTTTTTTATTAAAAAAAATAATTATTCAACTTGCGGTGAACCGCTTACGCCTCTAACTAGTAAAAAAGATAAAGGAAGATGGTTTTTTTATTGATTACTATGGATCAAGATTTAACCATAAAGTGGACGTTTACAGTTTTGTTAAATTAGTTCATTTTTTAATTATTAAAAAAATATTTAATTATAATCATTATAATTTATTTATATTTGTGTGATATGATATATTCATGATATAAAAAAAAATCCAAGATTAAATTGATACTTGATATTACAAAATAGATTTTAATTTTATTAATTAAAAAATTAAGACAATAAAAACTAAATTTAACACTAAAAAAAAACATTATCATCATCATCCTTCTTCTTCTTCTTCTAATCATAGGGCATGAAATACTGTATATAACTTCGTTTTGGAGTTTTTATTTTATTTTATTTTAATCCTTGTATTTTGAGGATTAAGCATTTCAGTTTTAAATTTTATTTATTTTATTTTCAGTTCTTAAATATTGATCACATCCCCCCCACAAAAGATTAATATTAATGTAAATAGATTCATCTTAGAAAAAGAGGTTCATTTAAAATGGTGTTTTCTTCTGAACTTATAAAAAAAATAATAGATTGAGATTTTTTTATGAAGGTATTGTGGACTATTTTATAAATAGTTATGTGTTAGTCCAATATGCAGAATTTTTAAAATAATTTTCTTGTTAATATCGAATAGAAATAAGATATTTATTTTTTATTGTAAAATCTTCATATATATTTTTTTAAAATTTATTATTGATATATTTGTTTTTTCATATAAGTGCGTAAAAATAATTGATTTATATATTTTTAATTTTTTAATTAAAACTTGCTTTCACAATTATAATAAAGATTTTATTTAATTTTATTATAGTGGTATGAAATATTTTAAATATATGAAGAAACAATGTTGATAATCTTACACAGACATGGAAGTGTAATGCATAACAATATTGCTAATCTTGAGAACTGTGAAACCATTTATTAGATAAGCTTATGATCCATGTGGGACCATAAAATGAGGTTTATACGGCATTATTTATATTGTAAAGTCACGGGTCAAATTTACAAACTCTTAAATTGATGTTTACAATTACATAATATTTTAAAAAAGGTTGTGATTATTTCAAATTTTCAACATGTTTTTATCTAAAATAGTTATATTTTATACATAATCAAATGGTTAATTCGATAAGTTGATTTGTGCTAACTTATTTAGCTATTTTTTTAATAAAAAAATGCATAAGTCAATGTATAATGCATCTTTAAGATTATCCAAAGAAAAAACTTAATTGGCTCGAAAAACCTTTTATATATATATATATATATATGATTACTTTAATGTATTTTTTTTAAAGATTAAACTCTTCTCAAGTTTTTATTTCATTATTGTTATTACTAAATGTTATTGCTATTATTATTATTATTGTAGAATTCTTTCTTCTATTATTTGGTTAGAAAAAAAGGGACGGCGAAGTACATACAATTGAGTTATCAATGCATGAAATGGACTAATGAGTTATGAGCCATAGAAAAATTAGGCAACTTGGCTTCCGAAAAGAACAAAAAAAGAAAAGTAGGAATGGGCAAGCACAGGTGCCGTCGCAGGACACCTCGAACATGGCCGTCGATCTAATAAATCACATCTTTACAATTGGTTCTCACCAAGATTTGTGTTTGAATCTGCTCAAGCTTCTGCAGCACTTCTTCCATGTTAGGTCTTTCGCGTTCACTTGGATTTGTACAATGAACAGCTATTGACATTGCATTTTGAAATGCAGCTGAATCGTAAGCTCCATTTAGCCGAGGATCTGCCAAGCCACTCAAGCTTCCTTTTCTCAAAACTGCATCCCTTGCCTGTAAAGCATCAATTATACCCTTTTGTCAGGATAAATGAAAGGTAGTTTATAGTGTAAATCATGAGCAAACCTCAGCAATAGACGTGGACTTTCTTCCTGTCATGATTTGAAGCAGTACAATCCCAAAATTGAAAACATCATTCGCAATCTTCTCCTGTCCCGTTTTCTCCTTGGATTTGTAACGTGACAGATTGAAGTCTGAAATCTTGGCTTCTAGTTTCTCATTCAGTAATATTTTTGTTAGCTGAGACACAATAGACTATAGTGTTAAGAGATTCATGAAAAATTATGTAGTCAAGGAAGTATTGACCCTCAACCTAATGGCCAATCACCTTTATGTCTCCATGGCATATCTTCTTCAATGGATTGTGATGGAGATACCACAAGCCCCTAGCGATGCCTTTAGTTATATTCATCCTTTGCTGCCATGTCAAGATTGATGTCATGCGATCACCTGGCGGATATATATATATATATAGATAATGAGTGTTCATTAAAAAAACTCCACATGAAACTCAAAGCCATATGATAAACACCGTAGCCCCTAGAAACAAAAAAATGTGGATAGCAACGATATTTTTCTTTCCCCATTGGTACTTTAATTTCTTCCGGAAGCGGTACAAAATGGGTGCTTTTTTTACGAATTGTTTTTGTTTTCAATCTCATGAGCGAAGCCTGGTGACGTTTGACGAGCTCCTTCGTCCGTGTTAAAAGCAAGCAAAAGTATACTTAAAAAACAAGTCATTTAAGTTGGTGGGATTGGCTTGCCTATACCTGTACAAGACCCGACGAACTCCTATCGTCCTTAATTAAGAAAGACTGACCACAGATAGAGAGCCGTGAGATTGGAGACTATCCAGCTCGGTTCGGAGAGCAATTTTTTTTTTAGTCTGCGCTGGTGAGTGGAAGCGAGAGTAGGCAAGTAAAAGCAAGGTCACTCTATAGAAGTGGTCGAGTCGAGTTGAAGACCGCGTTCTTACCGTGATTCCACAAGATCCAGCACACAACAGGGTAAACAGAACAATAGCCTGACAAAAGATTCGGTACAATTTAGGTGCCCTTTGAGACCGAGCTGGTTAAATTACACCTGATACGCCAACTGAACTGCTTCTTCGAATTCGTGTCGAGCTTACATTAACCCAATCGACGAGTGAAGATCGGCGAGGGCTTAAGAGGTAGGGATAGGGAGTGTGCCCAAGAAGGGCAGGGGTGCTGCGGAAAACACTAGCTCCTTAATCCATAGCGGGGCGCCTGATCAAATAATTGAACAAACCCTACTTGTTCAATCCCGAAAATAAAACACCAATCTTGATATCCTACTATATGATATGGTTGCATGGGCTAGTAATTGAACAGCAGTGTGAGCTGTCCCAAAATTAAGGGATGCGGAATGGTTAAAACTTTGAGAATTCTACTTGGGAGTCTTATGTTCAATCCCGAAAAAGAGAAGATGAGGATTTAAGTTTGGAGAGAGTTACCCCGCTATATGGGTAATATAATTATTAAACTCTATATGACTCAAGTCAAGTTTATTTTTGAATCGTTTAGAAAATTAATCAAATTAAATATAACTGGTATAATCAGTAATCTGGGTAACTTATTCAAAACCTGAGCAAAACTTGATCAACAATTTTTCTAATTTTTATTCAAGATAATGTTGTTTTATTAAAAAAACAGTTTAATAAATCCAAATCAACCTACTTAACATACTCAACCTAGACTCGGCTACACTTTGTATTAATGGTTAGATGCCATTTGAGAAAGAAAAGAAAAGAAAAGAAAGGAAAAGAAAAAAACAAAACAATATTGATGTGTGCAATGACCAAGAAAACTTACCTAGAAGCCATGTTGCTAAATCACTATTGAGGCAATATTCATAGACCAAAGATTGATCTCCTTTATTGCAAAAGCCAACAATGCCGACCAAATTTGGATGCCTTATTTTTGCCTTTTCACACATCTCATCAAGAAAATGACAAACTTCAATCCCTTCTTTAAGTCTCTTGATAGCCACTCTCATCCCACTAGGCATCATTCCAATATAGGTTTTCCCTGAACAAAATTTGTAAATCTAATGCATTAGGTGTTATTTTAATTTTTGGGTTTTTTTGACTGCTAATTATTATTTAAAATGCATAAAAATAAAGTGTGGATCATACCTAGAACGCCTTCTCCAATAAAATTTGAATCACCAAATGAATTGGTAGCTTTCTCTACTTCATCTTGTGAGAAAACGTAGAGATCACAACAGTTTAAGTAACTTACAGATTCCTCCTCCTGTTTTTTCTTAAGAACTATAATATCATGCAGATTTTAGTTCTGTTAGGCCTCATCAAAAAACAGGACTAGTGGAGATAACATCTATGGACATACCAAGCACTCACCTGATAAATTTTCACCAATGTCTTTGTCACTTGCATGCCGTAGTTGCTTCCCTGTTAACTTGTAGAGAATTGGGGCTAAGAGGACAAAGGTTACTGCTACTATTATCGCAGAAAGGAGTTTCTTTGATTCCAGGAGATTCCCTTCTTGAAATTCATCAACCAAATAGGCCATATAAATTGCATTATAAGTGAAGGACAAAAAATTTGCGTTATGTAAAATTGGAAATAAGAAAGTTCACCTCTTTTGCTAGTATTTTTAGGCCATGACGACTCTGAAATGTAGTAACAGGGGGGGGGGGATGTGAATTATGTATATATATATAAAAATCCTCCATGTATATAGTAGAAAAACATTGAGAAATCTTACCTATTTCACCCCATAAACAAGAAAAAATTCTTGGGATCGAGTTTGCAGAATCGGTAGCAGTGCTCGAAAGACTAAGAAGAAGAGCTTCCCCACAGTACTCTCCATTTGGGCTATCACCACTTTGTTTCAAGGCTTGCAAAGAACTTCTAAATGACATGACACAACTGTAACAAGCATCATCATTGTAATTACTAGTTGATAAGTTATTGCAATTGGATTGAAGTACACTGAATCTCTCAACCCCAAGAAGATTTATGAGTGAATCAACATCTTTTGAGCATAAGTTTGGTGTCTTTGAAGAAGAGATAAAATCTTGGAGTTCACATGTCGAGAGGCTGGTCCTGTTGTGAAGATTTTGGAATGTTTTGGTGCAATCTTGAGCCTCGTTTAATTCAAGAAATATCGACCGAGACTTGTTAGCTCTTACAGCCATTGCTTGGAACAGAGATTGTAAAGCCGAGTGGCAGCATGACTGCATGGCTGAATCTTTGACATTGGCTACGCCTAAGCACTCACCGTGTGCTTCATACGGGAACTTGTTGAAATCCAGGGAACAAGCACCTGAAGAAACAACAATGGAAAACTCATAAACCAATTAAAGATAATTTCTTTTCATCCTTTTTTTTTTTGCTTACTTGTATAGCTAGTGCGAGGACTGCATAGAAACATGAAGATGAATAACAAGAGATAGGAGATGGCCATTAGCTGCTTGCAATATTTGAGAGCTCTTTGGCTATCTTCTTTGCACTAATTTTTAAAATACGTCTTGTGAATTGTGATTATACCTTCATTCCATTACAGAATGTCAGTCAAATATTAACACCCTCTAAGAGTTTCTGATGAATTCTTTTTTTGTACTTTACTAGTCAGGAATGAATGTTTGTCGCTATTCATCATCTGTCTACAACTAGGCAAAAACAATGTGCAATTGACCTAGTCATCCAAATTAATTCTTTGTTGGAATAAGTTTTTCTTGTAGTGAAAATACGCACCTGCATCTGTGAAAGGCAGGTCTGTTAATGCGTGTTCGGTAATTTGATATACAAAATGATTTATTTTTTTAGATTTTTTTATATTAATATATCATAATCATTTAAAAAAAAAAAAAACTACTACAGTAACTTGGATGTTTTTGTAATTTAGCCTGAGCTTTTGCGTTTGCCGTATAAAAAACACATTAGATGTTTAATAATACATTAAACTGCGTTTTATATTATAAAACTCATTAAAAAATTAAGTTTAAAACGTAATTTTTATGAAGTAGTTTTTATATATTTTTTAACTAAGTTTTGTACAATTTTGTTTATTTTTTGCTTTTCAAAAATATATTTTTTTAAATTTAAAATCAGATCATTTTAATGCGTTGATATCAAAACTAATTTTTAAATAATAAAAAAATTTATTTTGATACATTTTTATGTAAAAAACACTTTTAAAAAATAACTACAATCAAATATTTTATACGTATTTTTTTTAATGTATATAAATTACAACCATAATTTTTACCAAACATGTATTTAAATCCAATTAATTATATTTTTTTAAACTTAATTTTTTAAACTATAATTATAAAAGCTATCTAAAAAACAATCACACATCTGTTCTTTAATTCCATAATTACGATTTAGTCTCCTCATCTTAACATGGGAATGCTGCCCATTAACACCTTTTAGGTAAACAAGCTTAAGAATTGATCTAATCCAGCATTCAAGCTTGAGCAGCATCAGGCTGCACACAATGATTTGGTCTTAAACAGTGCCTTAATCTTGTGTTTAAGTACTAGCTTTTAACCAGAAAATATAAAAAAACGCTGTGATGAAGTCATTTGTTTCGAAAGTAGGATATAAGGCGGCACGTAATTGCCGTCCTAGAATATAATATCACAACTAAGAAGTTCCCAGAAGCTGCATGCAAGCGCAAATGCTAGCCTACCCTACCGTTTTAAAGTTCATTCATTACAGGAAATATCAAGTCTTGCATTTCACAATTTCCTTGAAGGAGAACAATACATGCCAAATGCTACTGGTTAAGCACAAAATCAGTATAGTTGTTGTGCACTTTAAGTACTTTTGTTGGATTATCGAGCCCTCTGCTTGACTCATTCTGCAGCTCTTCTGCTACTGGCCAAACAACTAAATGGCATTAATCAAGTAAATCAAGGAGCAAGACCAGGCTTAATTCAACTTTATAACATTTTCTAAAAGATACCTTTTGTTTTCAATTTACTGAGTCACAGAGGCTCGATCTCAACCCAGAATTTTTCCCATCAATTTTTTTTTTTAGAGTATAAAAAAGGATGTAATCACCATGGTACTTACTATAGTACTTCAGTCAATAATGAATGTTATCTACGGGCTCGAATTTAAAAGTATGTGGTGGCATATTATTTGATTTGCTATGAAATAATTTAAATAAGTAGAATAATATTGTTAATGATTTTAAGATTCAAGTAAATTATTTCTTATTAATATTAACTCTAATACTTTCTTGTTTTTAACATCTACACATGCTAAAAACTACATAAATAGAGTAAATTACATTAATTAGTATAAACCTTTACAAAAAAAAATTAAAATAGTTAGCAAGTTAAATTCACAAATTATATATAATTATAGTATAAGAGGAGGTATGGGCCCGCACTACATTGTGGTTTTGCTTACGATGTCCGAAATAAAAGAAATCAACAATTAATTTG